GGAAGGATTTCGTCTTGCGCGCACGAATGTCCACTTTACCTTATTTTTTGCAAGGGATTCTTGCAATTTGATCAAGTAAGAACAAGAATTTTCATTTTCTATTGTTTTTTGCAAGGGAAAACGAGCGTCAACAAAAAACCGGATCCGGACATAATCCACTTTTCTGAAGCTTTCGCGAAAAAATGATGAAAATGTAGCTGCGGCCTAGGCGCGGCGCAGAGGTCGCGCACCAGGGGTCCCAACAATAATAATTCTTTAGAAGGAATAATATTCAACAACAACAACACTAACACTAACACTAACACCAACACCAACACCAACACCAGCAACAGCAACAACAACAGCGACAACGACGACGACAACGACAACAACAACAACACCAACAAAAACAACAACAACATGAACAAACACAACAACAACCATCATGTTTCCATAATGCGCGATGCTTGCACACGCAGCATGCGACAATCATGATAACCATCCACATCATGGGGGATTCTTATTGTTCTATCGCGGGGGTCCATTATTCCGTTATGACAATTCCGAGATGTCCCGCCCAATGAAATCTTGCAAGCACCTCCTCCGAAACATTTCAACATATCCCGCCTCGAAAACACGTGCCCGCCCCTGCTGCGCCGATGCGAGACCGCCTGTGGGGGCCCCAACCAAGGGTAAAGCACAGGGAAGTATCTAGCGGGACGGGGGCTGCCGGCGGCGAGGAACAGCACCGTCCTCAGGAGAAAGGGAGGAAGCCTCGAGCGGGAACGTTGCTCTTGCTGGGGGCGGCGCCAGTTCAAACGAGAATAGGGCGCCAGTCCAGCGTAACACAGAAGGACGTCTCGAGCGGGAACATTGTTCTTGCTGGGGGCGGATGAGAGAAAGAATAGCGCGCCAGTCCAAGATGAAACGGGAAGAAATCTCGAGCGGGAGCGTTGGCTTTGTTGGGGCTGCGGTTTTCGGCGGCGAGCAAGAACACCGGCTCTGAGTAAGAAAAAAAAGTCTCGAGCGGGAGCGTTGTTGTCGTTGTTGTTGTTGCTGTTGTTGGTGTTTTTGTTGTTGTTAATGTTGTGGTTGTGGTTGTGGTTGTGGTTGTGGTTGTGGTTGTGGTTGTGGTTGTGGTTGTGGTTGTCGTTGTCGTTGTCGTTGTTGTTGTTGTTGTTGTTGAACATTATTACTTCTCAAGAATAATTATTGTTGGGGCCCCTGGTGCACGACCCCCCCGCCGCGCCTAGGCCGCAGCCTCATTTTCATCATTTTCGTCTGGAAGTCTCAGGCAAAACGGGGGAGTCCGGATCCGGTTGTGTTGTTACGATCGGTTTTCCCTTGCAAAAAAATAAGCTAAAGTTGACATTTCTTGTTCTAACATAACCAAACTTCAAGAATCCCTTGCAAAACAACAAGGTAAAGTGGACATTCGCGCGCGCAAGACGAAATCCTTCCAAAACCTTAGTTTTCGTAGCGATTTTAACCTAAAAACATCAAAAAAATGGTTTTATATAAAAAATTGTCAAAATTGCATCCCGCGCGCTCTTGCGGATTTGTAGGAAACCCAACACTTGTTTAATCATTTCTGTCAAACGGGCTTTTGCGAGCAACTTTTTCGAACTTCTGCAACAACGGTTGCGCACCTGCCAGGGCCATCATCCCTGTCAAATAATACCATGCGGGACACATTCGTTTTTTCTTCGCGCGCGCACGCCGTCGTCGTCGGCCGCGGGGCCCTGAATAGTAGCCACGGTCGTCCGCATGCCACGAAGTGAAGTGTCCGAACGTCATAGGGCGGGAAGCTGGGTGTGGGTGGTGGCGAAGAGTCGTTTGGAAATTTGGTAGAGCTTGAACCGGCCCCCCCACAAAGTGGGGGTATTGCCCGCCTCCTATGAAAACCCTGGCACTGGTGAGAACGGAGTGTCCCCACGTGCTAGTAATTGTTGTTGTTGTTGTTGTTGTTTTTGTTGTTGTTGTTGTTGTTTGGGGGCCAGTTTTGGCGCCCCCCCAAACCGCTCGAACGCGAGCCGCATTTTCAATGAAAATGCAGCCGGCGCCGAAGCGAGAGCGCCACAGCGCTTGAAGGGGTCCAACCATAAGAATTGTTTCGAAATAAACATTCAAAAAGAACGAACATGTTCCAATACTGTTCGCTCGTATCTGCTCGCGTGCCGTCTAAAACGTATACCCCAAACCCCCGGCACCCGCCCGACACGTATATCCCGAACCCTCGTCTTCGACCGTACCCCTTCTTGAAGGTATATTGTCCCTACCTGCCGCACGCAGTCGGCGCGGCCCCGAAAACAGGGGGAAGAGGGGAGGAGCGAAGAGACAACGGGGAAGGGGAAAGATGGGGCGCGAGAGAAAGTTGCAGGAGAAGGCCAAGCAGCAGAAACACATGCGCCATAACCAAAACGAACACAAGGGGCGGGCGGGTCCAGATTGACTACCTACCAGACCACCCCAACCCAACCCGAAGGCACGAATTTGACCCGAATTTCGGGTTGGGGGGGGTACGGGGACCATGTGT